TCAATTTAAGAGTACCCTCCAGGAGGAGGAGTTTCAACTTTAATTCCCAGTTCTTTTGGGATCTAGCCTTCAATTGTTGGCAGAAGGTGCACTTCTGCGGAATGTGTCAGTTTGTAACCGGTACTGCTCCCTGCAGGAGAGGCATCGCTTAAACACAGGAGAGCTGGGCATGCCTCTTTCTAGGGACAATTCCCAGACAGGGGGAAAAGGGGAAAAACAGGGATAAGGAAAAATGTATTTATTTTTTAAATGGGGGGGGAAAAAACCTAACAGAAACCCTAAAAGCGAAGGGAAAAAAAAAAACAATGGAAAGTCTAGTAGGAGCTAGGAAAGTGAACTCTAAAACTCTGAAGAAAAGAGAAAGTGGACTGCTATGTGCTCTGTCTCTGACCATGGGGAGTTGAGAAGGAACTGAGGGTGGTTCGCCCCTGCAGCACTAGTTAGCCTCGAGGGAGAGTGCATGTATGGGTCAAACAGACACTGCTATCTAAAATCTCCTATCAAAGGTGCAGGGACGCAGACAGACCTACAGTGGAGCACCCATATGGACACTACTCAAAGAAATAGTTTAAAGTTCTAGAAAGACTTGGCTTTTCTAGAGCATTACTATCCATTGATGATGGAGATTTAACACTACATGCACAGGCTGCTTCCATGAAATGGTGGCTGAGAAAATAGTTTGTGACTCCTTTGCAAGCTGATGAAACGGAACCAAAGAAAGTATTAAAATTTACCTTGGAGACCAGTACAGAGAAAATTAGTCTGAACCAAAAAGACCTAAGTCCTGAGGTTCCTGCCAGCATCCAGATGCCTTTTGATGCTTTTATGCTCAGAAGAACTGTTAAGAATGCTATTGCCAAAGTGTCTTGCAGAGCAGACAACAATACCAATTGTAATCAATGAAACACAGCTGTTCCCAATACTAAGGAAGTTTGCATGTCAACTAATACTGATACAGTAACTCCTCGCTTAATGTTGTAGTTATGTTCCTGAAAAATGTGACTTTAAGCGAAATGATGTTAAGCGAATCCAATTTCCCCATAAGAATTAATGTAAATAGGTGGGATTAGGTTCCAGGGAAATTTTTTTCACCAGACAAAAAACTATATTTAGATAGATAGAGTATAAGTTTTAAAACAAAATTTAATACTGTACACAGCAATGATGATTGTGAAGTTTGGTTGAGGTGGTGAACTTAGAGGGTGGAAGAGGGTGGGGTATTTCCCAGGGAATGCCTTACTGCTAAACGACGAACCAGCATTCGGCTGAGCCCTAAAGTTAACACACTTATTAATGTAGCCTCACACTCTACAAGGCAGCACGAATGGAGGGAGGGGCGACAGCATGGCAGACAGAGACACACACCCTGTGTGTGGGGGAAAGAGAGAGAGAGAGAGATGCACATTGCCCCTTTAAGTATGCTGACCCCACTCTAAGTACACTGCCTTTTTAAGTGGATCAGGAAGTTGAGACAGCAGCTGCGGCCAGCAAGCTCTCTCCATCCTGAGCCCTGTGGTGTCCCCACCCTGCTCTATATGGAGAAGGCGTAAGCAGGGGGCAGGAGCAGGGGGGAGGGGGACACCAGGACATTAGTCCCCCTTTCCCCGCCCCCGCACAGCAAGCAGGAGGCTCCCGGGAGCAGCTCCAAGGCAGAGGGCAGGAGCAGCACATGGCAGTGGGAGGAGGGACAGCTGAACTGCCAGCAATTGATAGCCTGCTGGGCAGCTGCCACATGGGGGAACTTAGGAGAGTGGGGAGCTGATAGGGGGATGCCGGTCCACCCTGGTTCCAAGCCCCCCACCAGCTAGCTGCAACGGGCTGCTCTTCCTGCAAGCAGTGGACAAAGCAGGCGGCTGCCAAACAACATTATAAGAGAACATTGTGTAACTTTAAACAAGCATATTCCCTAACTGATCAGCAACGTAACAACATTAACTGGGACGACTTTAAGTGAGGAGTTACTGTATCATACTGAAAGTTATCAGTACACATAGGACTCACATGCTGAACGATTAATGCCTGTCCAAACGCAGATTGTATAGCACTAAACTAGAAGTATTTGTGGCTTTGGTACTTCAATGGCTGCTCAACACTGTCTGGAAAAAGAATAGCTCACAACAGGTAATTAATGGTTTCAGCTCCTATTGGATGACAGACACTGACCAAAGAGTTCGCAGGAAATCAAACTAGGATATATTCATAGACTGCCCTTGCAGATTTGATGGAGACCAGGATTTCAGCACATGGGAGAAATCAGACTGAAGTAACATTAAGGCACTATTTGGCTTGGAATAATGTACGTAGGAGATGGGGACAAATAAAGGGGAGTGGGGGGAAAACTCTTCGATCCCCATCTACCTCCAAAGGGCCATCTATTTGATTCTGATTAAAATTGATTTCTTTAAAACACAACCCCTTCTAAATAGAACCAGACCAGTGCCATGGCTTAAGCAAGCTTGAAAAATTACAATAAGTTGCCAAGACCTCATTAAACATTGCTATACCTTTTCCTAGATTTCCTCTCTCATCATTACCCATAAAGAGAGAGAACTGCATATAAAAAGAAGACTTTCAAGGTAACTTACCTCATGCTAGAGTCATTCAGCAATGAATACAGAGGCACATAAATTTAAAGCACACCAATAAGTTGACTCGTCACGTTTATTCATGGCACTAGAGTTATAATCTTAATTTTCCGATGCACCAGGAAGTGCCAAGATAGGAAAAATATAGAAAAAGTATGCCAGACCCTGAATTACTTCCACGGCGTTGGAATGCAATACTGCAAGCATGCCACCATATCTTAGACTACCACTTAAGCAGAGTTAGGCGGCATCACTACTTGAACAGGAGAGGCCAAGACACAGGTGCTGTGGGAGGTAGTGCTGACGTTTCAAACAGATGGGACTTCTAGATGGTACTGAAGCAACGGCCCCAGCATGGTGGTTTAGAGACACTGTCCTGTTGGACATGCCAACTTTTGGAAGAGACCTAAAACTGAACCTCAGCCACATTCTGCCTACAATACCTACATTTCTCCTGCAATATCAACTGGATATGATACTTTTACCTACATTATTTTGAAATCTGATGTATACTACTGCAGTGTGCAGTTAAAGCTGCTATGTTCCACTCTAGAGGTGGATGTGTTAGAATCTGGTTTGCAGTGATGCCTTTATAACAATAGCTTATAAAGGGATTCTTGGGGATGAAAAGTGCTATATAAACAAAAGGTACTGTTTTCTCTGAAAGGATCATGTATGAAGTCACTAGATATATGGGAGAAAACCATCTACTCAAATGCAGTGCAGAGACGTGTGCTGACTCTGTATAGGGGTGAATTTCACCCATGATGAATATCTTCTTAAGTTTCAATAAGGAGAAAGGAAATACAGAGTGAGCATAGGACAGTTTAAAGGGATTTAACTGGCCTTTGCTTCGAGTTTGGCAGTGGTCTGTTAAGCAGATTTTTGATTTACAGAGCAGCAAAAAGTAATTAAATTCTTAGGATTACAATTGCTTCTATGACTAAGTATCAGAGGGGTAGAAGCCGTGTCAGTCTGAATCTGTAAAAAGCAACAGAGGGTCCTGTGGCACCTTTAAGACTAACAG